CGAAATGAACTGATCTAACAAGCCGCAAACAGTAATTCCAGTTATGCACTAACAACATTAGTGGTAGAGTATAATAAAAATGTAATTGCAATAAATTTAAAATAATAAATTTAATTATATTGTATGATCCGGATAACTAAATCATTAAATAAATTTCTTAATAATAAAAGTACGAGACTTCGACGTTTTTTATATTAATGCAATATCATACACTGTATTACAAGAAGCATAAAACAAAATCACCACCTAACTGGTTCCTCATAATCGCCTGACTTGACCAAGAAGTAACTGTCGAATTTTGAGCCAATCCTGCAAACAAATCATCTCTTTAACTTCAAAAGACGATTTGAGTTCAAAACTAAATCACAAGATATAAAAATGTATTTATGCCCAAAGGTAACGTACAGAAATGTGTACATATATTTCAATTTTATATTTTAGCATAATAACCATTATAGTCACCCTATTTTAACGCCATTACTGTCCAGAGCATTTTCTGAGAAAAATGGTCTGTTTATGTCATATGTAAGAAGATCTCCCATTACAAGTCAAATGCTAATAAACGATATAAACTTCTTAATACAATATCAATATCTTGGTACAAAATGTTGACTGAACATTATTAAATGGTTCATTGGAATTCATTGTAAACTTAATATTTTGTATAGAATTTCAGAGAGGTGGGTCTAATGGGAATCTGTTTGAATTTTGGGAATTCATTAAAGTGTTTAGTGGGGTCCAAATATCTGAAACTTAATATTCTAGTTCACTGGAACACATCCCAGGGCTTAAATTTTCCTACCATGGCAACAAAGTCAAATTTCTTCATTGAAGGACAACTTTACCTCATGGATCGATTCGGGGGGTCAATTAAGCCTGTCCACATGATCCAAAATTTTATCTTGGCGATGAGGGGACTGCCGCCCACCTTTTCAAACCCCCAAACAGAACGGGTCACATCCGCTTCTGGCAACCCGATGTATCTTTTGGTTGGGGGGGGGGGGCTTGCCGAAAGTTGTGTCACTTATTATAAACAACTTTATTCTCAACAACAATGTTGAGCGAGCCTAAACACAGGCAATGTTCAAACCATTTGAGATAACAATAAGGGGGGGGGTAAAAAAGACTTTTTTAAGGCGTGTAATATTCGGTAATGTATCACTCAACCCAAATTTCTTGTAACCGATAAAATGCTCTGCATAAAGAGTAGGACATTGGATCACATTTTATATCTCAAAGAAATTTATAATGTAACAAAATTTGTAACTAAAATTAGACAAATCATGAATTATTAAAGTTCTATTAGTTCTACAAATACCTTATTAAACAAAAGCATCCTGGACAACAAACTTAACATTTCACCAGCTGGGAAATTTGTGTAAACTAAGCAATGATGAATGATAAATCATTCAGATAAGTAAGCAATACCTTAACAATAACAAACAAGATATAATACTTAACCTTACAGTGTAACCTTAACAATGAGGCAAGCATAGCTGACATTGACTTATAAGTGTGACCATACACCATGAACCAGCTTAAGCTAACGATTTCACACCTTTAAGTGTGATCTTCATTATGAGCAACAAATCTTAAATTTAATCAGCATAGCTTACATTTAAACCTTAAGAGTGACCGTTCACCATAAAACAAGCATAGCCTAACATTTACCCTTTTAGTGTGATCTTCATTATGAGCAAGCAAATCTAAAATTTAACACATAGCTTACATTTAACCTTTAAGAGTGACCTTCACCATGAACAAGCATAGCTAACATTACCCTTCAAGTGTGATCTTCATTATGAAGCAAGCAAATCTTACATTTAACCAGCATAGCTTACATTAACCTTTAAGACTGGACCTTCACCATGAACAAGCATAGCTAAACATTTTACCCTTTAAGTGTGATCTTCACAAACGTACAAGCATACTTACATTTAACCTTTAAGTGTGATCTTCAACATGAGGAAGCATAGCTAACATTAAACCCTTTAGTGTGACCTCACTAAAGTACAAGCATACTTACATTTAACCCTTTAAGTGTGATCTTCACACATGAGTAAGCATAAAGCTAACATTTAACCTTTAAGTGTGACCTTCAAAAAGTACAGAGCATAGCTAACATTAACCTTTAAGTGTGACCTTCACTTAGTACAAGCATACTTACATTTAACCTTTTAATGTGATCTTCACCATGAGTAAGCATAGCTAACATTTAACCTTAAAGTGTGATCTTCACTATGAGTAAGCATAGCTAAACATTTAACCTTTAAAGTGTGACCTTCACCATGAACAAGCATAGCTAAATACATTTAACCTTTAAGTGTGATCTTCACAAGTACAAGCATACTTACATTTAACCTTTAAGTGTGATCTTCACCAGGAGTAAGCATAGCTAACATTTAAACTTTAAGTGTGATCTTCACTATGAGTAACAAGCATAATAACATTTAACCTTTAAGTGTGACCTTCACTAAGTAACAAGCATAGCCAACATTTATATCCTTTAAGTGTGACCTTCACCATGAACAAGCATAGCTAACAATTTAACCTTTAAGTGTGATCTTCACTAAGTACAAGCATACTTACATTTAACCTTTAAGTGTGATCTTCACCGAGGAGTAAGCATAGCTAACATTTAAACTTTAAAGTGTGATCTTCACTATGAGTAAGCATAGCTAACATTTAAACCTTTAAGTGTGACCTTCACTAAGTACAAGCATAGCCAACATTTACCTTTAAGTGTGATCTTCACCAGGAGTAAGCATAGCTAACATTTAACCTTTAAGTGTGACCTTCACTAAGTAACATAGCATACTTACATTTAACCTTTAAGTGTCATCTTCATCATGAAGTAAGCATAGCTAACATCTAAAATTTAAGCGTGACTTTCACTAAGTACAAGCATACTTACATTTAACCTTTCAAGTGTGATTTTCACGCATGAGTAAGCATAGCTAACATTCAACCTTTAAGTGTTATCTTCACTAAGTAGCAAGCATATACTTAGATTTAACCTTTAAGTGTGATCTTCACCATGAGTAAGCATAGCTAACATTTAACCTTTAAGTGTGACCTTCACCATGAAGCAAGCATAGCTAACATTAACCTGTAAGTGTGATCTCCACCATGAGCAAGCATAGCTAACATTTAACCGTTGACTCAACGGTGTTGAGTGTGACCTTCACGATGAGCCAAGCATAGCTATCATTAAACCTTTAGTGTGACCTTCACCATGATCAAGCCATAGCTAACATTCCACCTTTAAATGTGATCTTCATCATGAGCAAGCATAACTAACATTTAACAGCTTTAAGTTGGATATTCATCATGTAGCCAGTATAGATAACATTTTACCTGTAAGTGTGAATCTCCACTATGAACCCAGGCAAGGCTTACATTTTTACCCTGTAAGTGTGATCTCCTATGAACAAGGATAGCAAACATTTTATGGGGATCTCACCATAAGCCAGCATAGCTATCATAAAACTTTAAAGTGCCTATCTTCACTATGAACAAGCATAGCTAACATTTAAGTCTTTAAGTGTGACCATCATCATGACAAGAAACGCTTACATTAAATGAATGCCCGTAGCATAGCTAACATTAAACCTTTTTAAATGTGACCTTCACCAATTAGGAAGCTCAGGCCAGCTTACATTAAACCTTATATGTTTGACCTTCATCAGGGTAAGAATAGCTAATTATTTAAGCTTTTTAAATTTGACCTTTTATTAATGAGTTTTGGCCTTAAAAGGGGGTCAAAGGCAACATTTTAATTTCTTACTTTGTTTTTTTTCCATTCATTATTCGTAAATGCCCTCAAAATAATACATAAACAGTCAAAGGAACATAACTTTTTCTCCATATAAAGAATAGAAGGTGTTTTCTAACTTGACCCGCATGGGTCAGTTTAGTGCGCTAAGATTCACACAATAGTTTCGCACAGTGAACTCTTGAAACATTAAAGAACATGTCAAAGAATGACTTACACTTGTTTCTATCATACAATATCCACAATATCTGTTATTGTAACTCAAGTTTGTTCAAGTCACACGACTTGTCTTTAAACTATTCAGTGATTCTGGTTGGCTTCTAAATTTTGTTAAACATATATAGATAAATTTACGCGTTAAACCAAAAATAAATAAAATTAAAACAGAATTCAATGCTGGGACTTCAGAAATGTCATTTTAGCGTGATTTGAGTAAATAAGATCATTATGATTTTTTGCCTGAATATCCCTTTAAAGCAAGGAGTTTCTGCATGTGCCATATGCTTTCAGGAAATATGCTAAAACTTTTTTTTTTCATACGGGGATTTTGGAAAATTACTTTTAAAAATTCCAACAATATTTGTAAGCATTGAATAATTAAGGCTATATACATTTTGTACCTATTGTACATGGGATAAACTGGTTGTTTTTTTCAGTTAAAAGTATATTACCACATGGCCCACAAGAACTTAAATCATCAAGTAATTTATTAGTATATTACCACAATAACTAAAATCATAAAGTAATTTAAAGTATAATTACTACAAGAACTTAAATCATAAAGTAATTTCTTTACAATTACCTATCAGTTGACCTCTTAAATGGAAAGATGTCTATATACCTTAACGCGCTAAACATACACTTGAAGCGCCGCGTCACGACAAAATCCCCCAACATAATGGGTTTGCGACCAGCATGATCCAGACCAAACCTGCCATCCGCACAGTCTGTGATCAGGACCATCCTTCGCATAACAGCGTCTACTGTTATAGGTTGAGCGAACAGCATGATCCTGAAAGACTGCGTGGATCCAGGCTGGTCTGGACTCCAACACTGTCTCAAACACATTATGTTGTTTCGGACCGCTCATTAGTAACAAACAGACAGGAAATTGCTTTACCATCTTTCTGTCTGATACAATACTCTAGAACAGTAAATTCTTTTCAATTCGTATTGCTCAGTATTCCTATCATTTGAATCAAGTCTTATGTTCCTTTATGTCCTTCAAGTTCTTTTTCAATTTCCAGCTTTCCCTCCTTTTCACCAGACATCTTGGCTTCAAGGTCTATTAGCTTCTTCTTCAGATCATCATATTCTTCTTTAGTTTGCAGCACTTTCTGTCGATTTCAGAATTTTTGCCAGTTCTTCCTTAATTTCTCTTAGAATTTCATCAAAGCTTTCAGTGGTAATAATGAAATCTTTCTTCTTCAGCTGATTAAAAGAAATCAGTTTTATTATATTTTCTATCATAAAAAATGTAGCTTTGTAATTTATAATATTTTACTCTTCAATACAACGTATAATATTCTTCACATGCTTTTTCAATTTTTCGAATATTTAAAGTAATTTTTTATTGATATAATCAAACCTTACCACAATATCAGAATTTAGAATTCCTTAATTTCAGATGTATGAATTATATAGAATTTCAGGACCCTTAAAATTGTTCAGATTTCAAAGTTTTTGGAATTTAGAAGTTCTTTACAACTAAGATCTCATTTGTTATATATTTTAACATTTTATAGGTACATATATATTTTCATGTGACTTTATCAATTAACTTAAGGGAATTATTATTACACTTCAAACTCTGTTACCTAACTTTGTCCTGAATTATGTGGCATGACTGTTATCTTTAATCATTTAAGTTAACTCCATAAAGATTTCAAACCGATATAATTCATTATTTACACTTACATCTTGAAGTTTATTCACTGTTATCTGGGCATCTGGTTGTTGTAATAGCTCTTTACCATCTTGTAAAACTGCTATCATATCGTCAATATATGAATTGGCCTCACTTTCTTCTAATTCCATGCTGCTTGAGTGGAAAATATTATTTCTATACTGACGTACCTATTGAATAGAAAACACAGGTTTTAATATTGTTCTATGCATATACATGTGTATGCTGTTAAGCAATCAAAATTGTTTTGTTGACACTTGTTTAGGTACTTACCTTCATAAAAGACGCAATCATAAATTTTACCAGGCCTTTTTCTTACATGTATAATATTCATTGCAAATTTGGGGACATTGTGTCTAAGACTTAATTTTTTATTCAAATAAGGAAAAAAAGTTCACACCAAATACAAAATGTTTGTACCTTTTTTTCAAATCACCGACTTTGGGAAAGGGATTTTTTTCGGATTGGGAAAAAAAGGACAAAGTTTGCATTGGGAATGCCCAGGCCTATATTTGGACCCATGGGATAAGGAAATATAGGCCTGTATACAAATAGTTCTATATACAAATCTACAATTGTACATGTTTACAGTAAATATTAACCACAAGCCTTGTGAATTGTTATCATAAACGATTGGTGGAATTTGTTGTGAATCATTAAAGGGGTGAATTACTTCATAACCTTCTTAGTTAAACTAGAACTGCCACTGTCATGGCGTGAATACACCCGCATACCACTTTGTCAGAATAAAGCTCAAGGACAACTCCCCTGCCAAATCTGAAGGTAGTAAGCCATTGCATTGCTAAATTATGTATTCTACATGTTTTTGTGGCAAAGATCAAAGTGATTTTTACCTTTGACCTCAAAACTGAAACTGCCACTGTATGACTTGAATATACCCCCATTCATGCAGCTTTGCCTGGGGTGTTTTATGATGAATATATGAGAACATAATTTTTATGCTTCAAATATGAAAATGTCAAAATCAATATCACTTTAGACAGGCATTCATAAGCATTTGAGTGGATAAACTTATTGAAGTAAAAGCCCCTGTGACCTTGACCTTTGACCCAGTGACCTCAAAATCAATAGGGTCATCTACTTATCATGACTAACCTACTGTTGTGCGGGAGTATAAATATTATTTTCTCTTTTACTTAAATGCTGAATATACAAAATTTACATTACAATAGAGCTGATAAAAGATAAGTAAAAGATATTATATGAATGATTTACCTTTAAAAAAAGGTTGTTTGCTTTTGTGACATTGCATGCAATGTGGCTATGAAAATACTGGTTATTCATCATTAGAATTAATAACCCAGTACAATCAGTTTCACCAGCAGATGTCTTGTCCTCGTACCCTGGAGCATTTATAAAACACTTACAAATGCTCCAAGGGTCTGTTGACCACTGTTGAGCATCGGTATTTTTCCAGTTAGGTGCAGGTGGCGTGGAGGCATGATGCTGCACAATAAAGTCATAGATGGCGCCACATATGTTGTTCGGACAAGCAATTTTGCCCTTAAAGCAACAGCTGCATTTTACTTGCCCAAGAGGACAAACTTTGTTTCCAGCATTCCCAGGTACTAGCTTATGGTCTGGCTTGAGAGTTTCAACTTGACAGTTGCCACACGTCACAGTTGATGGTAGTGATTTTGTAGACCGGATGTTTTGTAAGATTTCCTTATGTTGTTGGTCAGCTATGTCATTACAGAATGGTACCAGTCCATCCTTTAAATATCCAAGTCCTAAACCAGCCTTTACCCACTGCCTGTATTTTTCCTTCTCTAAATGAAGTTGATGTGCCATCCTAATACTCTATCAATATCTAAACAAACAAAACAAAAAGATTATGTTAGATTTTATATAAATAAGTAAACAAGGTCTTGGATTGCAATTTAAAGTTCAAAATATTGAATAAATATAATATGCAATCAATTTCAACCATTATGGGATTTCTTTTCAACAGATGATATCTCCAGTTGATATTAAACTAAGAGAAGTACATGTACGAGGGTTAATCAATATATTCGTGGACACACTCCATAAATTATTTTTTTGGGGAAGGAAGGTTAATATAATTATATTCGACATTTATTCAATCATTTATCAATTTGATGTGTAAGTTTCAGATAAATAATCCCTATATTTTATCCATCAAAGTGCTGCAGCACTGAATGCGACGGACATGCAACCGGGGAGACATTAAGGGTTTTTTTAGAAAAAAAAATAAAACACAAAATATATAACAGAGAAAATTTGTTCCATACAAGGAGCAATATATTTTGTGTCCCAATCTGATATAATCCAGATTTTTTACTTTCAAGCAGAATGAAATATATGCCTAAAACCCTGGTCAAACTTGTAAATCAGTGTCATTATCGATTTATTCCAAGAAATGATATGTAAATGGAAAAAAAACTTTCAACGACATATTTCTAAAATAAAACCATGCAAATAGACTTCAAGCATAATACATTATACCACGGATAAATCCGTGATTATACATGTGAGAATGTTATTTAGAATTGCTTTGTGTTTTAACATCGTGGGCATATAGACAATAAAATATAAGTCATTTGTATTTTTATTTCTTTTGGATATGTACGTCTCATTAAAAATATTTTTGGTTAAAATCATCAGCAATTAATAGTCACCGTATTTTTTTGATTTTTTTTATTTGCAAGGGCCAGAGCACATCGTTTTTATTTTAATCTAAATGTCACAATTTTTTTTAAAAGCACTCTAGTGTTTAGTTGTCCTTTTCATTTTCTCACTAAATTACATTTTCAACTTGTTTGCTTCTTACAATTGTATAGAATTTCTAAAAGTATTGCATGTGAACAAAGTAAGTATCCGCTGGTTTATAACATGTATAATGTGTACTCCCTACTGTCCGAAAATCAGCAAAGGTAAAGCAGAATCTATTTTTAGAATAGCGAAGGTTAACTCATATCGTGACCTAGAAAATGTATCTAATTTATTAATAACTGCTGAATATTCAGCTAAACCGCGGTATGAGTCACGAAAATAGTTCTTCTTTTATTAATGCGCGAGTTATTCTAGAGTCCAAAAAACTTTTGATTTGTTAATAATAATGTTTTGTATAATGTAGAAATATTTATTTCCTACTAATAATTTCTTGGAACTCAGAGCTTACACCTTTATTATAGTATAATTTGCTGTCCTACTTTTTCGACAGCGGTAAATCGTTTCGGCAGTAATTTGCATAATTGCGCAATAATACTACGGGACTACAACGTTTTTATCAATTATATACGTCCATATTTTAACTTGGATAACTTAATTTGAAATTGAAAAGGCTAAATATGGAAGATTTTAAGATATCCCGACATAGTATGGGAGTTTTAAAGGATCAAATTCATGTACTTTTTCTTGGGCTGTTAATCGGTTGAGGACACTTTGCGCGAGTGTAGCAGACGAAATCCCATGTAGATGACTTAGCTCTGAACGCGCCTGAGGGCGCGTCCGTCGCAAAAATGACAGTTTTCAAAAATACAGGTAAAGCTGATCGCCGCAGCTCATTAGCAACTTACGTTACGTCGGCGTTACATCTCTTAAAAAATGCAGCACCATCTTCTACACATCATTCATGCCTGTGTACATACTGACTGAAAATGTTCTTATTAAATGAAGTATCAAATGAAAGCAACACAGACAATGCCATGGACTGTAAATCATAGAACCAGATAAACTTGTGTCCCTTTAACTCTGCCTTCAATTTCACTCGCATAACGTTCTCATTGCAACAAGTTTCGATTGGTCTGCCGCATCTCTTATTATCCTGAAGTTCTTCTCTACCCTCATGGAAGCATTTGTGCCACTTATAAACAAACAAATAAGACACTTTTTTTGTTCAAGATACACTTTCCAAGTTTTCCTTAGTCTGCTGTGGCGTCATACCAAGATTTACACAGACTTAATTACTGCCCTCTGCTCCAACAACGTCGTGCTCCTCTCTGGTGACACACCCCTGTCTCCATTAACATCTCCAACAAACAAAAGAAATAGTAGCGACGCTTGTTATTTTAAATGTTCTATAAGCGATATTAAAGAACGTTGCCGTCATTTTCATATTTAAAAGAAGCGCGCCAAAATAAGGCCAATTTTATAGTATTTTAAAATGGTAAATATAACTTTTTTAAGCTGCGGCGTTCGTACGGCATAGGGTTGCTATGGCGATACATATCATCAACAAAATGAGATTTTTAAAAAAAATCACAATATATTTGTAATAGTATTAAATTCTTCTCCTAAGTAGCGAAAATTCTTTATTATATCTTGATTAATTATTAAGTTATTAATAGCGTCCATGAATATATTGATCAACCCTCGTATGTGCTTGATTCATTGTGACCATTATATGAGCTAGACTTGTGCATCTATCTTATCCGTATTTTGGAATTAAATAAAAAGACAGTACATACCAATAGGAGGGCCATGATGGCCCTGAAATTGTTCACCTGTATATAAAAACTATCAATGACAAGAAACGAGTAATAGTGTAAGCTACAAATGTATAAACAAATTAAAGCAGATATAAAATCTAAATCTTTAACTGATACCACAAAGTTCATATATGTATCTGAAATAGTGTGTGTGTAAAAAACATGAGTGTTTTTAATATATATACATATAAAGAAAATCAATGACCCCCGCCCCTGGACAGGGCCAAATTGACCCCTGGGCCTTTTTAACAAACTTGGTAGACACTCACTAAAAATGTTTCAAGCTAAATATCTAAGCTCTAGGCACTAGCTCTTTTGGGTTTAAAAAAGAGGACTTTTTAAGTTTTTACTATACACGAATAAGGAAAATCAATGAGCCCCGTGGCAGGGCTAATTTTAACCACAGGGCTTTTACTTTAAAAACTGTGTAGAACCCAATTAAAAAAGTTTCATGCTAAATATCTAAGATTTAGCCCTTTTGGGTTTTTTAAAAGATGTTTTTTAGGTTTTTACTATTCATGTATACATAAAAGGGAAAATAATGACCCCTGTGGCTGGGCCATTATTTTGACCCCTGGGCTATTATTTGAACAAACTGCTAAATATCTAAGCTCTAGCTCTTTGGGTTTTTTAAAGAAGATTTTTATAAGAATTTCTTTCGGTTGCCATGGCAACAGCGTTCTGCATGGAATTAAATTCTTTGAAACATTTTCAAAGGTCACTCCTGTGAGGTTTGGATGAAAATGGCTCAGTGATTAATGAGGAGATGTTGTTAAAAGTAAAAGTTTACAGACGATGTCCGGACAGTCGGACGAAAAGCAATCACAAAAGTTCACCTTGTAACTTAGTGACAGATGAGCTAAAAAGTAGGGGTGTAATCGATTCAATCGATATCGGTGTATCAACAATCTTTGTTATCCGATTTGATATCGATTCCATCTTTAAATATATCGAATGCACACATATTTCAAGCTTAAAAGACACTTCAGCAAACAGGTTTTATAGTACAGATAGACCAAACGTCAAAATAAAAGCGAAATATAAAGTTATGGAAGCCAGAACTAACATATTCGAAACTTTTTTTTTCTAAAACGGAAATCAACACCAGAGTTACCTCCCAGTGTCTCTAACCAAAGCTGCCGAATTTCATTGTAAATCCCGCATGTCTGCTGAGAGGGGGTTAAGACCCCCCAATTCAGATGTTTAAAAGGGAAAATGCCAAGAATTTTGTTTTAGTGTTTCTTTGTAAAAATTATGATTGCAAATGTTAAACATTAATAATTATTCCGGTTCTAAACACTATAATTTGCCAATTTAATCTCGGCTTAGTAATAGAACGGCAAGGACGGGATTAAGCATAATCCGTAACTACGTAATAGCAACAACAACAAAAGTAAAATGGAAAAGGCTTTTAACATTTATAGTTACTAGTCATTTGTTGTCATTAAAAGTTAAAATGATAAAAAGAAACAAATTGTTCACTTTTCATAGTTTATTTATTTTTTTAATGTGTTTAAATGTAACTGCATATTAAAACAAATTAAAAAGACTTGAAAGCTTAATTTTGCCTGGCAATCAATATATCGCTGTATCGCCGATAATTCATTACCGATATACCGATATAAAAATCCTTATCGATGACACCCCTACAAAAAAGAGCTAAACATATAAGCTGGGATACAGAAATTTGAAAGCAGAGTAGAGGTGTAACAATTCAACATAACATCGCGATCTGCCCTGTCTTTGATGCATGCATCGTATTGGAATTATAAATTATAATGCAATACATATTTCACCACCCGACGCATTGTTATAGCGTGAAAGTATCGCAATACACTACATGTATATTATTTATGATATAATGAAAAATACCTTCAATCCTTAAGTTAAAAGTAAAAATCCTTAAGTAATAAGTAAATAGTTGAAAGATAGAAACTTGAAAACAAGTTATAATAACAAGTTGAAGAGTTTATTGTTTTGTTATTATAATAGTTTTATATTATATTCGTAATTATGCTGTGAACAAATGACCAAGTTTTTTATATAGATAATGTCTCTGTCAGTGAAAGTCAGTATTGTGATAAGTATTGCATTGCAACATAAAAATACAAGTTTATCTATGTTTCTTGTTTTCTTCAAAATTTGGTGTGATTGTTCATTCTGTCCAGTAATCTTGGAACAAATACTGGACCGGATCTGTTTCCCTGGACCAAATAAAATTCAGGAAAATAAAAGAAATACAATTCATTTTGGTATATGAGATATATGACCTAGGCCTGCTTACATGATAAAATTAATTTGTCATAAGTCATTACCATAATTTCAAGTTATAAGAAGATATGTCATCTGGAAGACACAG